GATAGATAGATAGATAGATAGATAGATAGATAGATAGATAGATTGATAGATTGATAGATTGATAGATTGATAGATAGATTGATAGATAGATTGATAGATAGATAGATAGATAGATAGATAGATAGATAGATAGATAGATAGATAGATAGATAGATAGATAGATAGATAGATAGATAGATTGATTGATTGATTGATTGATTGATTGATTGATTGATTGATTTTGGCAGAAATATTGTGAAATATTTGCTGGATTTGACCCCAGGAACATCAGAAGTGCTAGCTCCTGCTCTCTTCTTATGTTTCCTGTAAACTTCCATGTAAATAACCATCTCATGTGAATCTGACAGCAGTGTAAAGTTTACAATAATAGCTACGATATGAAATGAAACAGCTTTCGCATAAACTGCTAAGTTTTGCAGGTTGGAGCAGTTTTAAGATGACAGCAATCAACTTTAGTCAGCCTCATTCAAACTTTCTGTTAGCGTTACATCCCGGTTGAGACTAAACTGTCAAAACTGAAGCTGTTCAAAGAACTATCTGCAACAGGTAAGATGTTAATTCTTCATAACTTTTACACAGAATGCCACTTTAAAATGACCAAATTGTATAGTTTCTCTGTTCTGCCTTGCAATGCCTTTTTATAATAATACACACAATAAATAATTTGTAGCTAAATATAAGTATTTCTGTTAGCAGTCTTCCTGTGTGCTTACCTGGGGTGGAGTAAGTGTGATTCACCGAGTCCTCAACATGGACCTGCTTCTCTCGTCTTTCCACCAGTCCTTCCTTGTTGAGGCATGGAGCAGACTGTGAGTGAATGGTGCCTTCACTGCCATCCCCAAAATGCCATCTTCATGACAAGGAACACCAAGAAATCCCAAACGTTTACACAAGTTCAAGAGATTGTAAATAAAAATGCTTGCAGACATTAATGAAAGTGTATTTTAGAAAGCTTTACATAAAGGTGAGCGCGAGGGAAACATCCACTTTGACTCTGACGGTGTAGAGGTGAGAAACGTTCACCGCCACGACCTCCGGGACAAACAGGAAGTCCGGTTGAGTCAGCGGCGTCTTTGTGTCAGCAGTCAGGAAGATCTGCAGGCTCTGGGAGCTCACAGGGTTTGATGCGATCACCTAGAAGACAATTTAAAAACGACATTTTCAAATGTTATTTTATTTTATCATGTCCAGCCCAAAAACAAATCTAAATTGGGCAACATTTCAAAACTGTTGTGACTTTGATTTGACAACTAAGATAAATTCATAAAGATGAAAGTATTTACCTGGAGCTCATGCTCTGCAGGTTTCTCAAACGTTACACTGTAAGAGTCCACGTGGTGCGCCGGACTCTCCAAGCTGTCAATCACCCACGTGAAATCTACTGGAAAACCACTTTGCACTTTGGCTGTAAATAACTGCAAATGTAAGAAGTTAAAAATGCTATTTTCCGAATTAATAAGAACACATCCCTCCTTCCTGAAATGATGATGACTTCTACGTTTGCGCATAAAGAAAATAAAACTTCTTGTGTTTGTAGGAAAAGCTGCTTGTGGAGTGTTTCAAACTTGTTTCAGAATTGTTACGATTAACTCAAAGATGTATAACTACAAGAAATTGTTTTGTCCCAACAATAATACTTTCACTTCTGTGTTTCTCAGATGAGATGGTAAATTCTTAGGTATAAATGCAACATTTTTGTTTCTCCAGTCATTGCTTTTCATTTAAGCCTGAAGTTTCCATTGTTGCTGATTTGTGCTGATATTTTTCCCACCCACCTGCGACCTATGTACAAGAGTCCTGGTGCACCCACGTGGCTCCACGCTGAGCCCCGTCACTGCCTCGTAGCTTTGAACCTTCACATTCAGACTCTGAAAGCTGTCTTCATCCACCACACTAACGTTGAGTGTCTGAACGCCCGCTGATGGCAACACAAGCGTCACGGAGGAAAACCAGCAGTCTTTGGACTTTCTCTTACAGTCAGGCACAAACGGAGCCACCTCTTCAGGGCAAGATGGACGAAAGGGGACATCAGTTTGGAGAACTGGAGCCGACCAGGAGCTTCTGGCCTTCTCTCCAAACAGAGCCTTGACGACAATAATTGTTGGCACATTGGTCTGTACATGAATGTAGTTGTTTTCGTCTGGATGAGGATGTACGATGTCAGTTTTAAAGTTTGACTCTGAAACGGGCCCTTCAGTCAGGGGCCTGACTACAGAAGCTGTAGTTGCGTGTATGGAGTCCAAAATATCTCCACGTTCAGTTGGTCTGTGAAGTCTGTCTTCATAAAGGATTCTCAGATTGCACACCACACCGTCCACCCACTTGCTTCCTGGAGGGAGGGAGGTGAGGCCCCCCTCCCACCAACCTCCCCACTCTGCCCCTCTGAGGGACACAAAGCTTTGGTGCCAAGGTGAGCTCGATGAGGCGTCGCCCTCAAGGCAGTGCAGAAACATTCCCGAGTCAAGGGTGTGCTGCACAGCTACGACATCGTCTGGGTACACCATGAAGCCTCGCTCCGGCAGAAGAATCTGTTGCAGAAAAAACAAATGGAATTTTGAAATTAACCATATAGTTTAGTTTATTGTTTATTTGTTATATGAAGGTCAATAATGCAATGAAATGCTCAGGACGAAAAGAATCGTCACGACTCGCGGAAACCAACAAAAAACAAAACAAGAAATACAAAAGCATGTCAACAAAAGTCCAAATCATCCAAAAGTGAAAAAGAAATATATCAAACAACATGGTAGAATACAACGGTGCTAGTAGGATGAATCAGTACACACAATGACCTCACTGGCAGTAACGCTGCTTAAATAGCATGATACATGTTGCATACAACATACACCACACAGGTCGTGTGACAGGCCAGTGAGCAACAATGAGATGAACTGAACCATGATGGCAGGGCAGCAACACGCATGATACAGCCACATCGTGCAGCAGCAACAAACATATTAGGTGCCACAGATGTGACAGTTCTGTGGAGCCGGTAGACAGAGAAGTTGTCCGGAGCCACAGCCCAGTCGGGGATGGATGACTTCAGGCATGTTTCCATAAAGGCAAAGACACAACAGCTCCTCGTGTCCCGCTCGCAATAAATCTATGCACGCAGGTAATCCAGTCTATTCCTCGGAGACTGAACGCCCAAAAGCAGGACCAAGGGGAGAGGGGGTTTGCTGCATCTTTAGCAGGTCCTGCACAAAACACCGGCTCACTACCACACCTCAGTAACTTTCAAATTTACTGAGTTATAGTCATTTTTGTGTTTTGTCTCTCAGTGTGATTAGCTGTGGCAACCATATTGTTTCAGGTAAAATCATTATCGCCGCTCCTTTCATTGTTGTTTGGTAACAAAAGTCGACTCACATTTAAAGATTTGAACTCAGAGCTTGGGGTTACGCTCAGAGGCATGTCTGCCACCAGGTGGTAAAAGGGAGGAAGCGCCGAGTATCTTGGAGGGGAAGTGAAGCCCCGCCTCCTGACTGCAGTATCATAGGAACTGCATGGACTGGTGTTAGGGACACAGGTCTCCAGTAGAGAACACCAGTAGTGGCCGAGGCTGCAGCCCCCTGTGGTGTTGCAGAGGGGCAGAGCCGAGCAGCAGCTGAACACATTCAGGAGAGAGCTGCAGCCTAAAACAAACAACAGGGTGTCATCAGCAAACAGCAACAACAAAAGAAACACGTGTGGGAGGAGTACCTGGAGGTACCAGGTGGTGGTCAGGACTGCAGTAAGGTCGGAGGATCTGAACCCGGGCCAGAGAAGACACAGAGCTGGGCTGGACCACCAGTTCTACTGATACCAGCTGACCTGCATGGCTGAACCACAGGCCTGGGAAAAGCATCATCTGTGGGGTTGAGAAGAAAATGGTTTACAAAAAATATTTCATCATTTCAGAACTGACAGGAAGTTTGGAGGTTTATTTAAAATGTTAACCTGAAAATATTGTACTACCAGTAGTTCTGCCCAGTTTGGATTCTATCTGCACTACAAATTAAAGCTGGATGTTCACTTAATCTTCTAACTAAGCTTTTCAATCACTAGTCTGCTTCCATTATTATCATAAAAAAGACTTCTGTATCGAGAGGAGCCAGTCGAGGTAGATCAAGCATTTGGTAAGGATGCCCCCTGGACACCTCCCAAGGGAGGTTTATGGGCATATCCAACTGAGAGGACATCCCAGGGAAGACCCAGGACACACTGGAGAGACTACATCTGGCAATGTTGCTAATAAATATTTATGTATATGAATGTTTCTGTTCAGTGCCCTGAGATGACTTCTGTTGTGATTTGGCGCTATATAAATAAACTGAATTGAATTGACCTCTGCGACCTGACTCAGGAAGAAGCGAAGGATAACAAATGGATGGACGGATGGATGAATGGATGGATTATTGTTTTCAGTTTTTATTCACAAATTGAGCGAAACTTTAGAGCTGAACAAACAGAATTAGACCTACAGTAATGAACAGTGCTCCTTGAAGGAATGGACGTCACCTTTGTCCCAGCAGGATAACCTTTCGAACACATCTGTTACACAGTCTGTTAGTCCACAGACTTATGGCCACTTTTGTATATGCTAAGGTTGATAAGCTGTGGTGGCCATCTTGAATTGGGTTAAGTCAAAATCCGTCCACATAGGTATGATTGCACATGACTGCCTTCACCATGGTACCGGTGACAATGATCTAGTATTTGGGTCTGATGCTGTACTAACCTCCACTGTGCGCTGTCCAATATCTGGTGTTGTGGGAAGTGGTTGGATTGGGGTGTGTGGATAGACCCCAGTCATGACAATCAATCCAGTCAGGTAATTATCTAAAGATGGCAACAAACCTGCATGAAGAGGAGAAGAATAAACCCAAAGCTTTCAGTGACATGGAAAAAAGCAATTCTTTGACGATGTCTCAAAGTAAAGCTTAATTTAAAATATTTGTTCTGATGTTGTCATATTTTTGGACCAGGCTTCTTACAGGTTTTGTTCTTGTTGCCCAGCATTACCCCTTACATCTTGTCTAATCCTGAATCCATGCCCATCCCATGATTCCCTGGTGTTCAGGGATAAACCTACCAGCCGCTTGGTTTTCACACATGAAGCGGTAATGTTCAGCACACTGAGCCCTCCTCCACCTCCCAGGGGTCCCCAAGGCCATTTGAGGGCACAGCCCCTGATTTGCTCCATCTCTGCCCCACCACGATGATGTTTGTGGTTCTGGAAGCCCCAAAGGGTTAGATTCTTTTACCCATGATGCATTTAGCCATATCCATCCTGGGGGTTTACTAAACCAAAACAGAAAAGTTTCATGCATCTGTTTCAAAGGAAGGAGAATGGGAAGAAGACAAATTTTGGAAAATGGGATCTTTTTGATGGGCTTACTCGGTAAAACGACTGTGGATGAAGTATTGCACCTCCTCATTTTGAACTGACGCCAGATGCCCTCCCCAAGTTGCTTGACAGGAACCTTGTGCCTCAGACCATGATGAGGTTCTGTCAGAGAGCCAAAAGCAGTGCAGGCTTCCCAGGTGGATCTGACCTCCTTCTGGGCAAGAAGTATCACCTGGAAGACAAAAACCCAACAAACGTTTGAGAGGAACCATCTTTTAGCTCGCTAATAATAAAATGAAGGTGATCAATGTGGGGTCTTGATGGGTTTGACTTATCAACTTTGAGACTCTGCCACAATTTATTACTTGTTTTAATGATTGCTTTAATGAGCAAAATACTTCAAAGGGTTTTACTGGGATTTTATGTGATAAACTAACATACAGCAGCACATTATTGTAAAGTGGAATAAAAATACAAGTAGTTTTCACAATTTTATACAAAAAAAAACATTGTAAAATATGGCAAACACCCGAATCTGAACATTTGTGTTCAGCATGTTGGGCACCATCTTAGTATAAATCCAGCTGTTCTGTGAAGGCTTCAGAGGCTTGTTTCAGAACATTAGTCGTCAAACTGCATCATGAAGACCAAGGAACAAACCAGAGACGTCATGGATAAAGTTTATCCCAAGCATTGAGCACCTCAGTGAACAGTTCGATCCATCATCTGAAAGTAGAAAGAGTTTAATACAACACTGTAACCATTTCAGGACACGGACGTCCACCAGGTTAGATGACTTCGGAGGAGCTGCAGAGGCCCACAGCTCAGGTGGGGCAATCTGTCCACAGGACAACTGTTCGCTGCACATATCTGGTCTTTGTGACAGAATAGAAAGAAGAACTGCTGAATGAGAGTTACAAGAAGCTCGGTTTGCTGTTTGCCACAAGCGATGTAGGAGATAAACCAAAATGTAGAAGAATAATGCAGATGGTGGAAGGTGCCCTGTTCAGATCAAAACTGAATCTGCTGCACAACACCCCCATCATGCTGTGAGGTATGCTTCAGCAGTGACACTGGTCGTTTATGGAACGATGGATGGAACTAAATACAGAACAATCTTGAAAGAAAACCTGTTAGATGCTGCAAAAGATTTGAATCTGAAACAAAGGTTTCCCTTCCAGCAGGACAACAGCCTGAAACTTTCCAGCCAGATCTACAATGGAATGGGTTGGATCGATTCACGTTCTTGTGTTAGGATGACCCAGAAAAAGTCAAGACCTAAATCCAACTGAGAGTCTTTGGCAAGACTTGAGAATCAGTGTCCACGGATGTTTTCCATCCAGTGTGGAGCTCAAATGTGAGACTTGTCTTCAAAATTATGCTCTTAAACAATTGTACACACCAACAGTGGCTGAAGAAATGCATCAATAATTAAACTTAGGCCTGTCGCGATAAACAATAAATAAATTAATCGCATGATAAATGAAAATTATTCACCTCATTTTCATTTACCGGCTTTATTGTTTTTTCATGTCTCTCTCTTTCTACTGAAGACACTGGATGACAAAAGGCTCAACTCCGGTGCTCTTCACTGACCTCTCCCTTTCTCTTTTCTATCTAAAATCCTTTATACCCGTCCAAAATCGTGTTTGTGGATCGTTAAAAACAGCTACGTTATGAGCTAAGCTAACAGGCCGACCTCGGGAAAAAAACTTCTGTCTTGTCAAATCACCAAAATTCTCGGTTGAAACCCGTGCCTTCGTCTAAAAAGTTGTTTTTCTCTGCAAAAAGAAGCTGAGAACTTGTTTACTCTTTTATCAAAAGCTTTGTGTGACAAATGCTATGCTAAAGAGCTCAAATCACACAGAGCATCCGCCATTTTGAGAACCGAAGAGAGACAGCCCATGTCACGTCAAGGGGCCTCCCTTTTATTTTTCATAAATGACACGCTGCTCGCTCCCTCACTATCCATCCTTCGGTTTTAAAAGTCTTATACTACCATCTGGTGGTTGAAAAAAGGCACTACATGCAAAACAAATGAACAAACATGTTTTCTTAAAATTGACAATAATTACTAATTATTGTCAAATTTCAAACAATATTGTTTATCGCAATAATTTTTGAGACAATTAATCGTCCAGCAAAATTTGTTATTGTGACAGGCATAGTTACTGTTTTAAAGTGGGCAACACGTTGGTGCAGTTGGTAGAGCTGCTGCCTCTCAGTGAGATGGTCGCCGGTTTAAATCCCAGCCTGCAACCTTTCTGGGTGGAGTTCTCTCCGTGCATGCGTGGGTTTTCTCTGGGTACTCCAGTTTCCTCCCACAGACCAAAAACATGCATGTTAGGCTGATTGGTAACTCTAAATTGTCCCTAAGTGAGAGTGAGAGAGTGAATGGTTGTTTGTCTCATTTGTCTCTATGTGTCCCTGTGATGGACTGGAGACCTGTCCATGTGTCCCTGTGATAGACTGGAAACCTGCCCAGGGTGCCCTCCACCTCTCACACAGTGACTGCTGGACATAGGCACCAGTGACCCCTACGACCCAAAAAGGAAGAAGCGGGTACAGATGGCTGGATAGATGGATGGATGGATGGATGGATGGATGGATGGATGGATGGCTGGCTGGCTGGCTGGCTGGATGGATGGATGTTTTAAAGCTAGTATGGAGTCAATCTTTCATCTACAATGTTGTACCTGAAAGAGTATTTTCTAAATCAGGTGACTTTATTTCTAGTTTGAAGGAAAGCTTCTCACCTCTGGCCCTGGTGATCAGAACTACACAGAGAATCCAGAATGGTGCAGGTTTTCTTGTCGTTCCTCTCATCTTCTTGAGTAATTCATCCTCCAGTTAACAGGAGTTAATCAATAAACTCCTAAATGGTGCAGGAGGTTTGCAGATTCCTCTTGTTTTTTTTTCTCGTCCCTGAACTAACCATCCCCTTACTGTCCAGTTAGACGTGTTGACGGGACTGCCTCACACCCAGCTGTGCCTCCTCTGTTGTTCCTTACAGAGACTTTCACTTCCTTCATATTGTTGGCTTGTTTTGGAGACACACGTTAGTTACTGTAGGGTCATTAATTTAAAGGCCTCTTCGTTCTTCATGAGTTCCTGGGTGTCTCTCAGCAACAGCGTTGGAGGCAGAATGGACAGAGGAGGGCTGGCTGGTTGAAAATATTCACAGAGACAGGATGCAATGGAGAAAATTGGGCTCAGAGTCAGAGGGAGTGTTGTCAGAGCACGACCTCGTCTTCTGTCAGGTTTAGTTGTTTGTTTTCCCACCAACACCGAGAGCTCATCACCAACCGGACAAAAACTCTGTGACGCAAAAGAACAGAGCCGAGTTTTAAAGGGGAGGATGCCGTCGGTTGCCCTGGAAACAGATCGAGCTAAAGGTCGCGAACAGGCACCTTTAGCTCTAGTTGTTGTTTCATTACCATGGTAACTATTGTTCATTTTAACACCAAAAACGGTTAAATCATGTCATCAGGACCAGTTTCTTTACATGAGAAATGTTTCATCTCCCATCCAGAGGAATTCATCAGTCTGCGGCCTGCCAACCAGATCTGCCCCGTAAGTAGACTTCACTGCTGTGTTTCAAGCCAACCTCCTGTTGGAGTCTCAAAGTAGATTTTAACACATGCAAAACAATCAATCGTCAAGTACATCCATACATACTTCCATACAGTATATACACACATACACACACACA